CATCTACTTATTTTCTAAATGTCACCTCACCTCCGAGAGCCCGTGTGTAGCCAGAGTAGTACAGCATTCTCTCTGTCGTGGTGGTCTTCCCTGCATCTATATGTGCCATGATGCCTATGTTGCGAATTCTGGCCAAGAACATAATATAAACATTAGGTGTTAATAGAACATTATTCTTATATGCTCAAGAGGAAATTGTAAAATGCACTCATGCTAAAAAACAAAAAATTGTTCATAACAAATACCATAGTTTCACTGATCTAACCACGGTAATGAGAAGTCACCCATGGTTTTCTTGCAATTAATTTCTTGAAAGTGTCTTACTACAAATATCACACCTAAACTGTGGCATGTAGCATGCAAAAACAATACTAGTTTTAAATGAGCTGTCATATCTTACTTTGAGATGTCAGGGTTGACCACCGCTCTCAGTGATTTCACCTCATCTGAAGAAGAAAAAAATTGTGAACAGTAAGACACTAATCTAAAACTACACAATATGTAGAACTTTGTAATTATCCACTACTGTCCTTTACCTCGATAAATGCTGTAATTTATATTCCCCATCACTCTGCATCTGCAGGTCTGTGAATATCTGCTCATCAGGTGTCTGATGCTCTGAAATGGAATGAATGATGCTATGCTGAGTGAGTTCTGTTCTATCACAGTTCTATCATACACAGCTAAACCATTTTACCATTAGTAACCTTAGCTAATACTGTAAAACACTAATACAAGTGTATGAGATGTCTTTAAAATAGTTTCAGAATCTCAAAACAGTGGTGGCTTTAAACAAGGCTTTACTATAGTAACCATGGCATTTTGGTGGAAAGTATTGTTATCACGGTAAATTAGTCAATGACAAATGCCTGTACATCTGATGCGTTTAAGATAGACAGTCAACAGCACAAACTTACCCCTCCTAGGATGGGGAACGTTACATTTAAATGCATTTTTGAGGCAGAACGTTGGATTAAAGAGTTAAAGCTTCAGCTGTACAGTACAACACATGACTGCTGTGCTTGATCAAAGTCACGTTGAGAGCAGACTAGACATTTAATTAATCGTAAAGCTTGGACGGAGGGGTCGAAAAGACATTTAAAGCAAACTCGTATCGTTTTCTTTTCCCACTGACAGCATGTTAAACACGGTTAAGTGGTAGTTGTCAAAAGCGTTTTTTTTTTTTTTTAATCATTCCAGCCACGATTTGGTGCATCTGGAAATAGGTCCGCTAGAAACATGAATGAACGGTTAGGTGTTCCGGGGCTAACTCACCGAATAAACATCATGAAGTTAGCGATTTGATAACAATAATAATAATAATAATAATAATAATAATAATAAATAACACATATTATTGCAGTCACTGCAGTACTGTTAGAAAGAAAGAAAGAAAGAAAGAACTTGTCATATGACAAATGGAGCCCCACTGATTGGCTGAGAAAGTAGAGGGATTTGTTACTGTGTGTGTGGGGGGGGGTTATCTTTATCTTTTCACCCCAGTAGGGGGAGACACAGTTCATCATGACGACACTCACACAGCACACACCTTAGCAACTAAGTACGAGTATAAAGGGTCACGGCAGCTCTCCTGTTAAGGCCTCCTCATGTGAAGACCGAAGAGTGTAAAGACCATCGACTCCACCGGGCAGGGACACCGGCAAGGGATATAAGTATCGCTTTTGATTCATCCTTTTTCCCGCTACTTGTTTCACTTCTGTTTCAGTTTTTATAACCAATTCTTACTGTGTGTTTCCAGATCCCTACTATCACTACCACTCGCAAACCACGTTTCACACACTATAGGCAGCGCAATCCTAACAACCAGCACACATTGCCTATGTCTGCTAATACACTACTTTCTTTTATATTGGTCTCTGGAATTGCCAGTCTGCTGTAAACAAAGCCGATTTCATTACTTCTATTATTAGTCATTCAAAGCTAAATCTCATGGCCCTGACAGAGACCTGGATCAAACCAGAGGACACTGCTACACCTGCAGCACTCTCCAATAATTTCTCATTTTCCCACTCCCCCCGTTTGACTGAAAGAGGTGGAGGTACTGGTCTGCTTATCTCTAATTATTGGAAACTTAATCCTTTACCATCTTTGGGTATCAACAGCTCCTTTGAATCTCATTCAGTTACTATTACCTACCCTCTTAAAATCCATTTTGTAGTTGTTTATCGACCCCCAGGATCACTAGGTAACTTCTTGGATGAATTAGATGTGCTGTTCTCAACCTTTCCTGAGGATGGTACTCCGCTAGTTATGCTTGGAGACTTCAACATCCACCTAGATAAACCTCAGGCTGCAGACTTCCACACTCTGCTTGCCTCTTTTGATCTCAA